TCCTTTAGATAAGATTGAGGTCTGCTGTTCATTTTCCCAGTTCTATGCTGGGTTACTGTCTGGGAGTTCCTTGTGCCACACTGGCTAACAACTCAAAAGAAGGTATCACCTGTCTGGGATTGTTGCTTGTTATGTAGCCTTTAGCTGTACATGTGGACTCTTAAAAAATTATATTGGCCCCTTTAATCTTTGGTTATACTTTCTTTTTGAGGTTTAAGGCCATACAGTTGGCCCAGATAAACCAACTTATTTTTACTGTTAAGGTTGTTTGAGGATCTGTTCCTCAGGGGTCACATGGCCTTGGGAGGAGCCACTGGCTCCTTTTACCAGTTCCACCTATGTGAAGATAAGCCTGCTCGACCATGGCTGGTTTCGCTTGGAAGCGTGGAGGAAATGATTCCTCTGTGTTGACCCTCCTCTTTGTAGACTGGACACTGGTTCAAGTCCATCTCCTCTACCTCCTTGATCAAGAGGACAGGTGACCCACCACAATGACAGGACATTTTGACAGATGCTCGTAGTTCCCTGGAACTAGTCGACCTAGAGGGGCAGGGAGCAAAAAGTGTCCTTTATGTCCCTCTGACCAAATTAGTATAGGCCTCAAAGTATGCCTGTTAAACATCCAAGAAGGTTAGGTCCACCAGTCTGGTACTTTTAATTATTGTGTGCCATCTAGATAAATCTTGGGCAAAGACCAATTGTTCTCAGATAAACTTTGTCTAGGCATATTATTTCTTGATCTGGTATGTATAATTTGTCAGTAGGTTGTGGGACTAATATGATTCCCTCTGGTTTTTAAAACTAGCTAGGCATTATTTATCTCTCGCATTGTCTAACCCCTCCATCATGGTTTCCCCAATCAAGGTGCTCCCATTTCCCCCCTTTCTCCCTTAACAATACCCTTCTCCTATGGGCCTACCTCTCTTGAGCTCCTTCTTTCCCTTTATCCCCTAGGTTCCTTGTATACCCTTCCCTCCCCCCTCCCTTAAACTATCCCAATTTTTATCCATATCTCCCTTATTAACATAATAAGAGGGAGGAACTGAGGCAGCAAAGTTGAAAATGAATGAATCAGTATAGAAAAAAAGTATGGTCAGCATGTAGCTCTTTCTCCTGAATTGAAACATTCTTATCTGGAAAGAGGAAGGCTCACAAAAACTCAGGAAGTTCACTAAATTTTCAAGGTCCAGGAAGCTGAGCAAGTACTAAGATTCACAAGGATACTCCTTAAGGTTATATGCACATTAAACAATTACTGGGGAGAGGAGGCTATCTCTCTTCAGCGGATCTGCCTGCAAATTGGACAGGAAGCTGAGAGACATTCAGGTTGTTTCCATTTCTTAACTATTGTGAAAAGAGCAGCAATAAACATGGCTGTACAGGTGTGTCTACTGTAGGATGAGTTCTTTGGGTATATTCCAAGGAGTGGTATAACTGAATCATATGGTAGATTCATTTTTAGTTTTCAAAGAGTACTCCACTCTGCTTTCCATAGTGGTTGCATGAGTTTGTATTCCCACCATCAGTGAATGAGTGTGCCCCTTTCTCTACATCCTCACTAGCATTTGGTGTCATTTGTTCTCTTGGTCTTAGCCAGTCTGACTGGGGTGAGGTGAAATCTTAAAGTTGTTTTCATTCGCATTTCCCTAATTACTAATGATGTTGAACACCTTTTAAGATGCTTCTTAGCCATCTTTATTTCTTCTTTTGCGAACTCTCTGTTCAGCTCCTTAGCCCATCTTTTAATTGGGGTAATTCCTGTCTTGATTCTGTTTTTTGAGTTCATTTATATATTCTGGATGTTAAACCTGTGTTGGATGTGTCACTGGTAAAGATTTTCTTTCTGTCGGTTTTCTCTTCACTTTCTTGATTGTTTCTTTTGCCGTACAGAAGCTTTTTAGTATAATGACGTCCCGCTTGTTGATTGTCGACCTTAATTCCTGAGCAACTGCTGTCTGATTTAAGAAATCCTTTCCTACACCTATATCCTGTAAGTTACTGCTGATATTTTCTTCTAATAGTTTCAGGATTTCCAGTTTCACATTGAGATCTTTGATCCATTCCATTTGGAATTGACTTTTGTGCAGGGTGAAAGATAGGGGTTTAGTTTCATTCTTCTATAGGTGGAGATCCAGTTTTGCCAGCACCATTTGCTGAACATGCTGTCTTTTCTCCAGTGCATGTTCTTGGCTCCTTTGTTAAATATCAGGTGGCTGAAATTGCATGTACTGATATTTGAGTCTTCAATTTTGTTCCATTGATCTATGGGTCTATTTTTGTGCCAGTATCATGTTGTTTTTATGACTATA